TAGGTGTGCCTGCTTGAGCAGGAAGGTTGGACTAGATGACCTGTAGAGGTCCCTTCCAACCTTAAATAAATATTCTGTGAATATTCTGTGAAAGAGCTCTGCAGTAGCATACGAGACAGCTCTAATGGGCTTTTTTTAACCTTTTTTTTTTCTCTTTTTCTTTCCCAGAACAGAAATTACTTCCACTCCTAAGCTAGGAGTCCTGCACCAAGATCTGCTAGGATATTTATGCCTTGGCACCAATTGCTTAATGAATARAAGGAAGCTCAGGTGTCTAAAATGCTAGGGTTTGCTGTGTGGAAAGGAAATAACACCAGGTCAAACCTTAATGAAAGGCTGAATCCTTCCTTGCTGCAGACACCTCTTTTTCCTTGCGGAGTCCCCCAGATCATACTTCCCCAGCACCAAAAATCAAATGATTTTTAATGATCTTGGTCAACTCAGTATTTGCCATCAAACAACTGGAAAACTCTAGAATCAACCCAGAGACAAGCAGCTACAGCACCTGAGATGCTGGGTACTGTGTTTTTCTGGAGAGAGCACAAAGCGCCACCACATCTTCAGCTACTCTAGAGTGCAAGAACCACCAGGGTAACATCCAAAGGAAATAAGTCAGCAAGAAGCCAGTTGTATGAAATGCAACCAGCAAAACGCAGGATTAGTAAGAATTTCCTCTTTGCTTTAGTTTGGGTGTGGTGAATCCAGCTTACAGCTCGGGACAGCAAGGAACCCGCTCACAAACAGAAAAAGAAGGGTCAGCTCTGGGCAAAAGGAAAAACAGGCCAGCAGTAAGAGTCTACTTTTACTGGCAGAATCAAGCAGCAAGAGTTGGGATTTTTGCATTGCAACATCAATAAGGGTCTTCTGGACAGATGGGAACTAACCCGTGCTGGAAGCAGTGCAAGACGTGGCACGAGTAAACAAGTCTCTATTGAACACCCTACTGAGAACCAAGCAGACCAAGTTTTATCTGTATTAGGTATCACAGATACTTCTGAGACTCATGGCTTTTAATGTAAGATCGGAACGGTCTACTTCTTTTTCAGGTGAGGCTCCACTCCCTGGGGAGCCCCACGGCAGCCCATGTCACTCAGCGCTGCTTGGTCTTGAAGAGCAAACGCTTCCAGATTCCAGCTAAGGCACAGGAGGCTCCATGTGGGAAACTTTTCCTCAATCATTTCAGAAGGAAAATGACAACCTAGATGAGTTATACTGTTCAACATATGTCTATTACCCAMATTTACTACAGTACAAAAAAAAAATCCGCTGTGGTGCGACTCCACTGAAGTGCTATGTGATTTATATTGCATATTCCTTAGCAAAAAACACCACACAGAGGCAAACACAATTTGGTAATAAAACTGATGCCTGGCAGAAGTCCGAGCGGAGAGTTTATATTTATAAGCTTCCATAACTAGGTTTTTAAAGTGAGAAGCTCRAAATTTATAACCTGTGCTCTGCTTGGGAAAAAGAGCTACGAAGATCAGTCTGACTGCACATATGGCAACAGGGCCAGCAAGAGCTGTGGGAACTGATGGTGGCCAGGACATCTCCTCTATACATAAGAGAGGCAAAAGGGCAAGTGTGACTTGTGTCGCTAAAGCAAACTGCCCGCTCCTCAGTTTTCCTGAATCTGATAGAATTAGAAAGTCACGACACAAAAGACGGTCACACATAAGAAAGTAAAAAACAAWTAYTATTTTTTTTTCCTCCTCTAAGATGGTGGATTTTGAGCCACAAGAACAACATTCAAAGGCCTACAGCAGTCGAACTGTACCTCCCCAAYCAGGAAATTCCTTGAACTCGGGTAACAGTCTTAGAAACAGGCCTTTGAGTCTTCAACATTAATGCATTTATTGTCTCCTCCTGTGACACACACACACACACACGCTCCGCTGCTGATTTCCTTACCTCTCATTTGTCTTTCCTGTTGCTCCCTCTCTTTCTTGGCTTGGATGGCAAGCAGGCGCCTGCTCTTCACAGCACTGATCATATCATCAGCTTCTATTTCTGCCCGGTGCTCTATTTTCACGAGCTCATTTTTTTTCTTTTCGTTTCTTCCCATGGCATTCTCCTCCTTCCCATTCTCCTTGTTCTTGGCCACCATTTCTTTCCTCTTCTGTTTCTCCGCCCTCTTCTTGTCGTTCTCTTCTTTCAGGACAGCGAGACGCTCCTTCCACAGCTCAGCRGACATTTGCTGCTTGGCCTCCACATGGTCCTGCACAGAGTAAGTCATCAGAATCCGGTGGCAGAGAGCTGCCAGTATCTGCAGTTTCTCTTCAGGAGTCAGCTCAAAGAACTCTGAYGTCTCCAGTTTCTCCAAAAACTCATCCCGCACTTCATTATCCTCAAAAGTCGCCGAATCCTTGCTCTCATCGACGTTATCCGACACCTCGCTTTCCTCTTGCACATCTGACTTGCGTAAGCACAGGCGGACCAGCTCGGAAGCAGAATGCAAAGTAAGGGGGATTTCAGAAAGCTTCATACCCAGCTCGGCGTAATCTTCGGCAATTTCGTCTTGCAGCAGCGTCTGCAGGAGAATGACCAGCACCCGGTTCAAGTAAAGAAAGCCGCCTTTCTCTGCACAGAGCGCCTCCATCAGAGAAACTGCCGTAATTGGGTACTGAGCATCTGGCATCAACAACCCTGAGTAACAGCTGAGGAACTCCACCACCATGGCTACGTCCCCAAAGAGGGTATTGGGCAGTCCTTCTGGGGTATCAACCAGTTTAAAACTAGGCAAGGTTTTCCCTTTAAGATCTTGGTCCTCAAATCTTTTCTGATTTTCCAGTTTTTCTTTCATTTCCTTCTCCTTCCGCTCCTTCGCTCTCTCCTTCAGTTTCTCTTTCAGCTTCTCCCTCTTCTTCTTCAGATACTCCTTTCGCTGCTCCTCTGTCATGGTGGCCCATTTCTTCCTGTGCTCCAGAAGCTCGTAGCGTTTCTGCACTAGTCCCCGTAAATCCTCAGGGAGACGGGCACGATCCTCATTTGAGAGCAACCTGGCAGTTTTGGAGATGATGCAGGAAAGGGCACTTTTTTTGTCTTCCCGGTCTTTATTYTCTTTGTAATAGGCAATGAGATGGAGTGCCGCAGGAGGCAGTTTCTGGGGTTTGTTGGAAGACCTAGGGGTGCCTCCTGAATTCCTTGGAGCCCTGGACACCTTAGTGGTACCTTTTGCCATGTCCAGTAGTGTCATTTGTTTCATCTTCATCTTTGGAGTCTTCAAGCCTTTTCTAGGAGACTTTGATTTCCCAGATGATTTCTGCCCATTTAAAACCCTTTTGCCTCTCTGCTTTTTGTCCAAGGATTTGTTGTTACCCTTTCCCAAGCGGCTCCTCTTTGGAATGTGAAAGTTAGGGCCAAGTTTACCTGGTGACACTATTTTCATCACCTCTTCCAACTCCTCTTTGGGACATTTTGAGTTCTTAGAGTTTTTCACTTTCAGTGGAGACCCAATAATAGATTTCTCCAAGTGTACATGACACCACAGAGTAGGGCTCAGTGGCTGACCCAGGGATGATCCATCAGCTTTGGATTTCTTGGAAGGTTTTCTGTCTGGTGATCCGGAGCTCTTCCTCTTGGTCGATGGGTTGAGAGTCATATACTATAATTAATAAAAAAAAAAAAAGTTAATTTTTAAAGCAAAAAAAAAGTGATGGATAATGGAAATCTAGCTCTTGCATCAAGTTTGAGCAGTCTGTCTCTTTTCAAACCTGATTAGAATTAAATTCTCAAGTAATGTCACCAAATAGCTGATTTTTTTTTTTAAATAGCCACCTTTTAGCCTACTTTCACCATAAAAAAAGTCTGACTCAGAGTGAGAGAGACCGGCTTCAGAAGCATCTCACACCTCAAATTCAGGTTCAGAGTACATTCAGAATATTAATTCATGAAAACTGAAAACACAGAAAGAGTAAAAAAATAAAACACATAACACTCGCAGAAATATAACATTTAGGTTATAAGTAAAATTACCAGCAATTATGAGCTGAAAAATTATTAGAAAGGAAAAGGAAAACTCAAAGTAGTAAGCATAGTAAAAGAAATGCAAAGAATTACTTACATGCAAACAGACATACACAATGTGATCAAGTTAAGATAGTCAYGAAAATAATTCTGACTCCTAGATTTTCACTGTTATCAATCAGGCCTTACCCCCGATCTAAGAGTCTTCATTGCTCCAGTAATCTACCCTGCAGAGAGCAGACTACCTGAATCCACTAACTTCACTCTCCAACAATTCTGTGTTGACATCTTTGCTGAAGACAATTAAGCTGAAAACATTCAGCACTGATATGAATCATGATCATTACAAATATCAGATTTGCAGCTTAATCCATACTGTCACAAGCACAAAGTTACTTTGCCAGAACACTAATTCTAGAGCAGTGCATTCTTCAGCCACTTCTCCGTGTTTAAAAATCAAGGTAAATTCAAACGGGAAACGTGCCATGGAAAAAGTCATCCCTAAATAAGCTAAGCCTATAGAAGTCACACTAAAATGTTACAGGTGCTTATTTTTGCTTCTACTGCAAGCACGCCTCTGCCCAGCGGTGCTCTGCAAAACCTTGGGCACTGCCACCAAAGACCTCCCAGTAAAAAGAGTGACTCCACATGCTAAGGCAGGGTAAACAYAGCTCATGTATGAAGAATTCAGCTTTTACTTAAGCAAGTTTGCAAATTTGTAGAAAAGCGCATAGAAATTTCTTCCTAAAGAGAAAATTGATATACCAGATACTTCTATTCTTGTTACACAAGAGAGCTTGACAATGCTTGAATACACATAGATGCAGTTTGGCAAATGAAAGAAAAAATAGTGCTTTCTACACCCAAAGATGGATCCTAAGACAGCAGGGGTGCATGGCATTGACTCCATTAACCGTGTATTGGGATGGTCACTGCAAAGGATTGAGGACAAAACCMCACCAGCTCTTCAGTGCATCCAGTATAAAGATTTGCAGCACGTGCCGTGGAGTTAACCAGAAAGCCCTGGAATTAATGGAAATCGTGCAATAATTTATGCAAAATCACCTGATACACGACTCAAAACATGTAACACCATTTCTTGAAAATTACTTGTGCGCAGATTCTTATATTTAACTTTATTCATGGAGTAAATAGCCACCTCTCAATCCAGTACCACAGAAGGACCAAATATTGTAACGTCAGAGATATCAAACTCTTCCACTCTGACCACAAAAATGGTCCAATAACAGATATTACCAAGTAGGGACTACAGCTTTTCTATTTTTCCTCACAGAAGGAAATCCTACGAGTTGGAGGCAGTAATGAAACTACACCTGRCAAAACTAGGAAAACACAGTCACACTGAAGCTCATGCTTTCAAAATGGATCACTGTTTCAGATACTCACGTGATTTAACCTCACAAAGAGGCACTTTTCAGAAGAGCAGACTTCCTTGCTCTTCATCTTCCTAAATTAATTTAAGCTCAAGAGCTCCAAAACTCRACTAAGCCATAGAAGCCTTAGCCAAGACTGCTTTCTCACTTATTCCCTACTACTCAATCCAGAAGATACTTATAGAAGTTCTTACCTTATGTGGGTCAAGTAGGAAGTCACTAAATTTACTGGGGAGGGCATATTTCTTCACCAGCTCATCCTCCACGACCCAGGGGGCATTCTCGCCGGTGCCGGCCCGCAGCGCATTGTGACGGATGAAGTACCTCAGGATCTCCTTGTTGGGAGGACGCTCCGTACGGACCAAGCTATCTGCCGGTACATTGCTGATGATCTTGGGGACAACAGAGAGACAGACTGTCAACATTCAACTTGCAGTGACATCAGAGATGCACGTTATATAAAAAAAAGGAGAGCACTGTAGTGCTTTCGTTCTGCTAACCCTCCCGCTGAAGCTCAGTGAGACAGAGATTGGAAGAAGATTCAGGTAGCTAAAAAGGTCACTAGAAACAACATATGTTGCAGTTTTCTTGCCAAACTCTGTTGCTTTATTTAGCAACAATAGAAACTTCTGATCTTCCCCTGGCRTGTTTGCTACTAACTTAAAGATTTTATATATTACTGTTCTGKTTTTTATATTTTTCTCCCCTGAGAACATGGGAGTAGCTCTGCAAGCTGTGCTCATTAAGTTGAGGTCAACTCTGCCTTTCTATCAAATTAGCAAACAGATACAAAACCCACACAGCAGTCCTGCAGSAACACAGTGAAGTGCAATTACTTCGGACTCATCATAGTTTCAGTTAGAATTGCCATTATTGATACCAGTTTAGCTCAGACCAACCTTGATTAACTGCCTGACCAGAGATTAGGCAGTTAACAGTGACAACTCTCAAGCTGACCACATCACTGACTCAGTTGCAGAAATAGCCAAATTCATCATCTTAGCAAACAACTGCACAAATGCAAGCAACCCCCTTCCAACCCCAYGACTGTGTTAGGGGATTCCATACTTCGCTCTGTAGACATACAGAGTGTTTAAATCCAAGTTATATGTTCATCTTATACCAAAAGAACCCACGCGGTCATCTCACCTTATCTTCATTTTTCAGCTTCACATCATATTTGTGGGGCAGAAATTTAGGTGGAACCCACTTCTTTTCTTCCTTCTTCAATGAAGTAGGAAGCTTCCGAGGTGACCTACGTGCTCGATCATCTGGAGAAAAAACAAGGCAGACTTCAAGCATCTTAGAGTCAAGAGCTACAAACATTAAATCCACATCGTGACTGGAAAAGAATCTCCTCTGATTGTTATGTGTAGAGGATCTGGTTAAACTAGAACAGCAGGAAAATTTTCCAAATCCTGGTTTAGAACCATTCTAAAAGCACAGGCTGGAAACAGAGTCCCTAAATACAAGGTAGCACCAATCTTTTAAGGATTGTAAAGGTCCAGTGGAACTGCTTAAACTAATCTTTTTTATGGGAAGGAAGCTGCAACCAGCTACACAGAAAGAGAAAACTTCTGAGAGATTCATAAAGAGGAAAAAAGGGCCTATCACCTACATCTCTCCGAGCAAGTTATCAGTTATATAAACACTCTGGAGTTGCTGCCATGACCCCTAGTTGTCCGACATCCTCCCTCCCAACTAATTACTGCAGAAATCACCAATTCCAAGTTAAAATACATTTAACCTCAGTGGCTTTAAAGCATCACAAAACTATTACATATGCCTTACTATTATTAAGCCAATGTGTAATGAACTAATTAAGCTGAAGATTTTAAGCTTACTTAGACAAGTTTGGGCTTACTTTATTTTATTTTTTATTCTTAAGATGGATGTAAGGAGTAAAGGGGGAATTACCTGGGAGCAGATGTTGGATCTAATATTTTCATATTCAGGCTGCAAATAACCACACATAATAAAGACAAGCTCATTGAAGATCCTGATGTTTGGAGGCATGACTCAAAGCAAATGTTACTGCAAGCATGACTGATGGAAGTAATTATTTACTAAGTGTACAGAGAACACAAGTCATAAGATGCTAGATCTAAGTCAAACATGACTTAAATTCAAACTCTTAAATTTTGTGGGAAGAGCCACAGCACACGTGAAGGGAGAATAACYACCTCATTGCAAGTCATGTTGCAAATTAACTCTCACCTGCTTTTGTTTCCCATTTATTGGAAAAATCTTGGTACTCTGCTATGTTTCTCTGCTCATTATGGAACGGAAAGCAATGGAAGTTGCTTATAAAGCACTTCAAGGTCTGTAAGAGATGTGCTTTGGGAGATTTGCTTTAAGGCCTTTCAAGTTGTCMGGTGTTACCTTGACTGGCTGCGAGGGCACGTTTACATTTAAGAAGTAAGAACATGTTGCTTGGACTTTAGAGGACTCAGGTTAAAAAGCTGCCTCCGGGACCTATCCTTTGGAAATAATTTACTTTCTAGAGCCTACAAGCAGGGATGACTATTGAATTTTAACAGGCATGGTGCTGAAGGGCTTRCAGTTCAACTTGATGAGCTAGAAGGTCTTTTCCAACCATAATCATTCTATGAATTGCATTAAAACAGTAACTGGATTTCTGATTAAAAACAAAATACTGTGCACTTTTTTTCTGAAATCATTTTTATAAACCATATGCTTCAAGTGACTTTCATTGCATTTTGCTATAATAAGACTTACATTAGCTACACCACTGGAATCTCATAAAAGCATCCAAATGATGTTGCTCCTCCACCAATTGTTTTGGATTTTTCAAAGCAGTATTAACTTCAATTACAGCTCATGCTGTAGAACCTGCCTTCAGTAGCTGACCACCAACGTTCAGGAAAAACTAGCCTTTTTCTCTCACTTCTGCAGATTTTTCTTTCCAGAGTTCAATCCCTAAGCAACTAAAAATACAAAGCAAGTTCAGACTGCACATCCAACGCAATAACTCTTGTATAAAGCCCTAGGCTTAATTTCTGAAGCAGAGTAGACCGTAAGCCCCAAGGTACTGAAGCTCTTCTCCCTCTCTGCCTCTTTTCTGCAAGAAAACCAGCRTGTTTGATCCAACTTTTGCTAAAAACACTAGGATTAGCTCTGCCCCCTCGTGTGGACACAGGAAGATGCAGCTTTTTGCATGACACACACGGTCTGCTGTGACTTTTAAACACTCTTTGTCTATTGACCTGTGTTACAATGGGCAAATAAACAACCCACCAGATAATTTAAAAAATAAAAAAAGAAAAAGGAACGAAAAGGAAAAAGTGCAACCGAGTGACCTCCAGATACTGTGTACGATCTCCTACAGGTGCAGTTAAAGTCTGAACCCACTAAATAAAGGGTTTTTTTTTAATGCAGTTAAGTCTTCTCTGTAGCATAAATATACCAAATGTTACATTAAAAATTTAAATGGATTTTCAAATATAGATAGTACTAGCTAATGAGTTTTTACATCTATAAATCATGTTCTGTTACAATCAAGAATATAAAAGTATTAGCCATGAAATATCCTCAGAATGAATACATGTGCATATGGCAAATAGCTAAAACACAAATGCTTACATTTTTGCTGATAATTTTGATCACTTAACTGCTAGTGCTTTTGATTCGAATGTTCTGTTTTAAGGAAAGCGACACAACTGAACGGAGGTCAGGTAAGGAGCCCAGTGAGCCCGAGCCCCGCGGAGGAATTGGCTCTTGTAGGAAGCTGCATCGCCCAAGGGTCCCACTGCTRCTTTGCAGCAGCTGCTTAGATGTCTGTGCTACGCTGGAAAACATACAAATGCTCTTCAAAACACCCAAAGGCAAAGATACAGCTGTGAATTTGGCTAATGACAACTTAGAAAGCATGGAAAAACACCTTTTCCTAGTTAATTTTTGGTTGACGGGAACTATGGCTCACTGACATGTGTTAGTCTCTGCCCAAGCACTAATATTGTTTCAAAGGAAGGGTTTAGGGCCAGAACGTTATCTGCAATTCTGTTTTTCTTCTTCCCCGGTAACGCAGACCAGTGCACAAAATCAAAACAGTTTATAGCACTTGCTGGTACGAATCAAAGCCAGTTGATGATTAACTTCGGCCTAGAGCTTGGAAGACAAGGTAGTGTAGTCCTGACTTTGCTATTGGTTTCTTCTCTAATAGGGAGGCCAAACACCCCTTCCTCAGACATTAGTGTGGCTGTTTAGAAAGGCAAGCAGCTCATTACATTCATGTGCCTTTAAGTTCAGTTACTCRGATTACAGCTGCGCTGTATTCTTTTTCATAGCACTTTTGGAAAAGACTCTTAAGATTTTTTTTCAATTTTCCCCCATTCCTCCTTTTAAATTGTGCAGGACATGAAACTAATCTGTTTTTTCCTTTTGACAGTACCTTTCTGGAGTCAAAAAAGAAAAAAAAAAGAAAAGAAAAGCTTTGCATGTCCAGCATTTTGTACTGCAGCAAAGAGGAATAGGTATGAGAAAGTAGAAGAGTGTTTCAAAGCACACTTTATTTTTTATTTTGAATCCTTCAAAAAAAAAAAAAAAGAGCTTTTAAACATGCTTTTCTGCACTTTTTCCCCTTTCTGTATTCGAAAACTAGAAAGCTGGGGGAGAAAAAAAATCAAAATAAAATCTGCTTTGAATGTCAGTTGCTTAATGATTCCACATACACTTTTTCAATGTTTTCTTCTTTCCTTCCCCCTTCCCTCCCTCTTCTTTTTTTTCCTTAAACAGTGTGTATATATATATATACACACACACACACATATATATATATATATATGTGCATGCTCAGTATACCTTCAAAGCTTATGAGTTTCCACACACTGCTTTTAGTATTATGCCTTAAATGCATCTTTGGCCTTAAAACAAAACAGTCAGCAGCATTAACGACAAAGAAACCGCACCACTTAGGATGAAAATGTCAGGCTCGTAAGTCAATAAACCCTGGAAACATCCCACACTACATTCCCAGCCCGAGATGTACACAAATTCGGATGCTTGTTCGCTCGGCTGCAGCAGTTGTGTGTCTGACACGTTGTCTTACTACTTACTCATGCTCTCCCTCCTGTTGTCATCCTCCTTCAGGACGGATTCCTTCTGGTTGTCCTGGGCTACCTGGCTGGAGTTCTCTTTGTCACTGGAGGGGGAGTCACAAGTGCCATCAGACTTCTTCTCAGAGGCCTCTTCATCTACTTTCTCTAGGGGATGTATTTTTAAAACCTTCACCGGCAACATTTTTTCTTTACCAACCTGTGTGGGAATAAATATACATATTATATATTTATAACAAGGAAAAAACACATGTTTAAAACTGAGGGTAGGAGAAGTTTAAAAACCACGAACAAACAAACAACAAAAACACGCAAACAAGCCCACAAAATTAACTAAAAAGATGCCCAAAGTGTTGTTTGACACAACACTTTCCTGAGGTCTTTCTTGAGGAAATCACTGTTTTCCCTAGCAAAGGATTATAGGAGTAGTTAAAAAAAAATCCTACGTGAAAGTTCTGCACAAATTAAGAAATAGAGAATTGTCCATCAGCAAGTTTTTCAACTGTTTAATAGTGCTGCTTTCTCAGCCTAATTAAGTGTGGGCAATATGCAAAGTGCTGTATCAGTAGCTCCAGCTTAGAGAATTGGTCCTAAATGCTCTTCCAGCAGGGAGCTTTTCATACAACTCTCCCTTAAAGCTTGCCCTTAATTTTAACAGTCTTGAGTTTTCTCCATCAGTTCAAGTTCTAGAGGGAACTATTTTTCTAACTATTAAGGTTTTCCAAGCAGCAGACTTCAAGCTCTGTCTGTTTAACACTGCTAATCTTCTGGAGAATACGCTGTATGAAGAAATTACTAAACAGTAAGCACATATAAAAAAATATATATTTTAAAGTGATTAAGTATTATGTATATTGACACACAAACAGCTCTAAAAAATCTACTACCATTTCCCTCCAAATCAATCCCTTGACCTCAGTACAGGCCATCCACACGCGTTTGCTGAGAATAATTTTCTAASTACTAGAAAAGCAGGTGCTGTCCCTGGCACCATCTTTCAGTTAGTGTAAGTGGCCAACATTAGGCCTCTTCTTTTGATTGGTTAATAAATTGTAGATTTAAAAGGGGGAAAAAAAAAAAAAAAAAAATCAAGATCACTTGCAAAGGCATGAGAAATTGTGGAAAACAGAACCTTACCTCAAAGGCACACTCTTCTCCCACTGCAAATTTGGTCATGATCTCCAGCCAAGCAGCATCTACCAGCTTCTCCAAAGAGACAGTGTTGTGGTGGACTATCTCCAGTACCAGTTTCTCATACCAGATGGGGAACTCTTCCTTCAAGCTGAGCAAAGGCATGAGAAGATTTCATGATTCAAGAAATAAAAGCTGAAATGTAAAGTAGCCCCCAATTCATAACTTCCAAGAACACTGGCAGCCAAGGCAAGGGGGGCATCTGCCTCGAGCGTTACAATGCCAAGATCGGAAGGCTTTTTGGTGTTCCCTCTTCCACATCCTTTTTCCGTAGCTCTTTCAGCTTCCCAAACTAAGGCATTTATTGCTGACCGAGTCATCAGTTCTATTTGCTATTCTGCAATCTCCGTCAATAAATTTATCCCTACCACAAACTGCTTCAACTTCTGGATTCAGACTGGTGACAAGTATTAAAGTAGCCAGGGAACTCTCTGGGAAACTTATAATCCTGTTTCAAAGAGATAAATTCAAAAAATYGCATTTCACAGAATCTTTTCCTTTTTTTTTCCCTTCACATTTAGCTTAAACTTGGTTATTGAGAAATCTTTCATTAATATTCAATTTTCATTTCTGAACGTTCTCAGGTGTGGCCAATTAATTAAGCATCACTACTCAAAAGAAGGTGACACTAAACTAGTATACTTGAAGTCGGTTACTTCAAGATTCCGTGTTTATAGAGGCAGGTAGATACTCTCCCCTCAAACAAGGATATTATTGAACAAACAGTACTTCAAGCCTCCGAAAAATTAAGACTATCAGGAAATATCTGTTTCTTTAAGAATGTAATTAACTCCACTTTATGGGGAACTTCTCCTTAAACGCTATTAATTGCCTTGCCAATGAATCAAAAATCTATATTACATTTTAATAGCTGCTGTATTAACAGACAGCAGAAAATCTCCTAGGAGGTAGTATTACAAGAAGCTCCCAAGGTAAACCAAGGAACAAAAGCCATAGAAATCCACGTCAACTCATAGAACAGAGGAACATGCCGCTTGTTTGGCACACATAGAGGGTACACACGTTGCTTCAGCCATGGCCTTGCCCCTTTGAAGCACAGAGCAAAGCGGGTGTCAGCTGAGGCTCAGGTCTACCCGCTGTGCTGGAGGGGAGGTCAGGGCCAGCAGCCAGGGCCAAGCAGCTCTCAACACACTCAGTCCTCTTGCACTATTCCTTTCAACTCCAGAATCCCTGCATCTACTTACAGCCACTAAAAATCTGCTTGCCTCCAAAGCAGCAATCACAAATATCACCCAAAGCTGCTCCTCTGCCCCAGTGCCTGCAGACAGACACACACCAACCTCCTCACTGATACTTACAGCTCGGCGACCTCCTGCTCCTCCTCCCAGGCCTCTTTGTGCGTCAGCTGGCTGCTGCCTGTGCTTTTGCACGTCCAGATTCGTTCACTGTATCTTTCTAGCCGGGCTTCGTACTCTCTGCAGGAGTAGCAGCTCAGGAAAACGGGATTTATGGAGTGGAGAGCACAACCAAAGCAGCACAAGACCACCAAGTTCAATTAAACCCTTCCTATTTGCATGCACGAAGGCCGAGATGCATTGCAGGGAGGTTTGACCCCACGTTTACCATGGAGAGGCTGCTGCAAATCCAGCGGGATTCCCGCAGCGCGAGCGGCCGTCCTCGCTCCGTGCCGGCAGCCCGGAGGAGGCCTTGCCGCCGGCAATTCAKCTCAGCTGCACCACACACACGTGGCTGAAAAGGTCTGGGTTTTGCCAAGCTACTTCTACGCTTTGCAGAGCTTATTCACTCATAAATGACACAAACGGTACCAGGGCCACGAGGAGCAGACAGGGAACACTAAAGTACCTCTGTTTCTGAATGTCCAAAGCCAAGTGCTGGGGAACCCTTTAATTCAATGTACTACTGCTCTAATATAACAAAGGGGGAGGGGGACGTTATAAACACAAGATGCAAAGTCTCAGCGTACTCAATATTCTAATCATTTGTGGACAAAGCAAAAACAAAATAACACAAAAAAAAAGAAATTAAAAGCACAAGGAAATATATCTTTATTTTCCATCAGTAACTGTCTCCTTGGTTAGTACAGAACTAGCAGTTTTCTGATCAACGACACTGCCTACTTCCTATGTCACATCTAAGTTCCTCTGGCCATTAAGAGCAGCAAAGGAAATTACTGTGGTCATCRGCAGGCAGCAGTGAAGTTACAGCTCTGAGGGAGCATCTGTGGCCATGCTCTGCTCAGTCTCCCTGAAAAGTAATTATCCAACAGCGAAAACAGACATGAAAGGTACCTTTTGTTTTCTATGAATAGTATACATACAGGGATAATTATAACAAAAACTAACACAGTGCAAATCTGTCTATTTAGCCCATGAAAGCCTGCTTAAGCTGCCTTACCCTGACCTTAAGCAGGYAAGAAAAGCACCCTTCCCGCTGCCGGCAGTGCCTTTTCCATCAGAAAAGCAAGCGCAGAGCATTCTTGTGGTAAGTACAGAGGCGCAGCCCTCRGCGCCATGCAAGTGCTAATGCTGAATGCGAGCACCCTCAGCACACCACGGGAACAGATTTCCCTGCACCCTTGTGAAAGCAAAGCCACCAGCCACAGCAAATCCCTCCTTYGGAGCGTACTTTATTTTCTAAATCACGATTCCTACTCGGAAGGCGAGTCACAGCTGCAACAGACCTCGTGGACATCTCTCCACCAGTCCTTAGCTAATGCAAAGCTACACTATGAACACCGGCAAACCAGTATGTCATATCCACAGTAACTGGTGTCATGCAAGAAAATCAACTACAAATACAGTAACCTTCGGAGAAATTCGCCATTGCTGAGAGTTTAAAGTTTCCTCTGTCTGCAACAGGGTTTAAAGCTGAGAAGAAAGCTGCACTTTTACAAGCTCTGACAGCACAGCTTGTGCAGGGTCCCACTCAGACTGGGCTGCATGTCCAATGGGTCGGACAGGCCCCCAATAAGTTTTGAGCCCTTTGGTCATATTTATATCCTTCTTAAGTCTGAAGATTCAAAGATTAAATTACTATTAAGTTTTCTTTCTTTAAAAAATGAAAATATCAAAGTCAGCTGGGAGTCTGATAGGACAGTCTTAAATCAACGCAACCATAATGAAATAGCAGAACTGAAGTGTTCTGTACCCAATTCGAGCCAGCTCCTGGTAAGTGGTAGCCCCAAGTTGGCCCCACAGCTTTTCCTCCCGCCAGACGAGCCACGGCACACGAGTAAGCAGCACCCTCACGCTGGCAGAGCAGCACGCAGGKGGCAAGGGGAAACCAGAGCGCACAGGGCGCACCCCACCGCGACTCAAACRGCAAATTCTGTAGCGGTGCTGAGCAGAAAATCAAACTGGAAAGCAGGGCTCCTGCTTGTATTTACAGCAATTTATCCTAATAATGGCTATATGGCAACCACAAGGCTATTCCCGTCCCACAAGAAGGGCCATTAAAACCACATTCAGTCATCACAGTGGAGAGGAACCTAAACCTAAACTGAGGGAGTCTTCACTCACCTTCATATTACCCTGGACTTTTCCTCTGCAATGCATGGACATCACCTGGATACCAAAAACTCACAGTGCCATGAGTGCCAAAAAATGATTTTTTTAAAGGAATCAACATATTTGCATTAAAAAGAATCCACAAAACTTTAATATTCTAACTACAACTATTTGAGATATGCCAGGCAAGAAAATTACCGTTTTCTATCCTACTATGCTGCCAGCTCTTTGTTCTCACTAGTCCTTCAGAGTCCTTTCCTCTCACAAGCAGGCAGAGCAAATAAATGCACAGCTCCAGTTGATAAATACATATTTTAGCACTGGTTCTCATACAGGCAGGAAGGAGACCACAGCAGTCCAGCCAGGGCTTCTCCTTCCTCGTACRTGGATATGAGAACAAGCTCAGCCCCACTAATATCCCAACTCTGGTTTTAAGATCGACGACAGCACTTAAAAACWGCAGAGAGAGCAATTCCCCCTCCCAGAGCAGCTCTGTCTCTCAAACACAACTTAAAAAAAAGGAGAATATTGCCACAAGTTTACTATACATCTAACTTCATCACTGCACCTATGTTATTTAGTCCTTTGCGTTCAAACGGGAAGCAAACCCAAAGTACAATTGGGTGATACAACGGTCTGATTAAGGACTGCAGGTGAGGTTTTCTTGCTTTGCCATCACCCACCCTGCTTTCCACAGACAGCACGTGGCTGGAGCTCCCGCTTGCACAAACGCCTAACACAATAAGAAATTAATAAAAAAGTAAAAAAGAATCTCAATGTCATCTACTTGTCAACATCCTCCCAGCAGCTACAAATAACACGCGTGTTAAATTAGACAGACGACTACTCTCTGTGTAACATTTAAGCAAATGTAYTATATCATACAGAAAATCCCCTAGACGTTGAGAGCCAGAAAACAAAGATTTTTTTCAATTYAACAAGACCCTCTTAAACAGAAAAAAAAACAGTGTTTAAAAGTAAACAAGTTAACCACTGCATGTGGAGATGACTAAGCGCCGTTGCTGCAGCAGCATCACTGTCTCTATAAGTAGCATCAGCGCTGAAATATCTGCAAAGTATCTTAACTGTTTCCACTTGTATCAGCTAAGATGTCAAACTTACCAAAAAGGTACCAAAAGCACCTAGGCGAAAACACTGCTTCTGTGTTGAGTGGCCAAGCTTTCCGAGGGTTACATGACCGTATTTCCACTCTGCCAAACGCAGCCTTTGACACAGATTTTACACAAAGATGTGACCTGCGGTCTTTAACTTACGCAAAAGGCGGCCTGAGCTTCCCTCATGTTTGCTGTGAAATCCCGTGCACCAACAGCAAATATTCTTTGTCCGGAAGAGAGCAAACTGGGCATCTTCGGGAGACGCTCCACCCTCGGCACACGCACCGCGCACAGCTCCTTCCCCACGAGCATCCGCGGAGCGACGCGGATCTCTCCGTCGCTTTTACACCTCGCACGCCTGCGGGAGCGGAGCCCGCGGAGCCCCAGCAAAGCCGAGTCTATTTCTGACTTTGCCCAGTGATTCATCCATCCCTGCACCCACACAATTACCAAGGCTCATTGCAAGGCAGAGCCCAGAAGCCTGAGGCTTCTCTGCGGCGCGAGGGGCTCTGCACAGCACCGGTTCTCTTAAAAGGTTCGAGGGGCCGTGGCAGCGGGAGGAAGCCGTGCAAAGCTGAAAATAAACGTCAGGGCCAAACAAACACCCAGCCTCTGTCAACCAGTCTATCCTCCTGTCCACTGCTTTCAGACACTTTCCAACACATGTCCACAGGGAAGATGCCTCTCCTCATATTTGTTATGCAATATTCCAATTTCCATTTTTATTTGACTTAATCTACCATTACAAGTCATTAAATTAAAAATAAGTCTAAAGAACTTTGTGCCTTTTAGATACCTCATTCACGTGCTGTATAAAGACCTGCATATTCTTAAAACAAGGGTCAATCAATAGTTTTTCAATAGGGAAAGCAAGGAAGTTCAAAAATAGCTCATATTCTGCCAGGCCTTGGCCTAAATGAAACCAATAGCTGGTCTGAGTAAAGACTCTGCTRCTTTGGTACTTCTTGACATATCCCCCTCTGCCTGACGTCTGGATTCACAAACGCCACTTCTCTGCATTATCTAGGATAAACAGAAGGGACCAGCCCCTCCCTCAGGGCTTCTTTAGGTTGTATCTCTCAGTTGTCTCTCCTCAGCCTACTGACTCATTTGCAATTTTCTGTTCCAGTTTTTGCCTCGCTCCAGTTCCGGGGCTGGGGGGAAGAAGCCCAACATTACCCAGTCTCTCTTTTTAGCTTCATGATGTGTATTTGCAGACATGAGTTTTCTAGAACATACTTGGCCCTTGGCCTCCCATTACACCCAATACAGCACTTCCTGTGAGAGCAGAGCATCTCTCTAGAATCTTTCCTTGTGTTTGCAGATGCTTCCTCTTTCATTCTCATCCTGTGTCTAACACCATGCTCTCTTCATCAGCAGCAAACTTTATTTTTTTTCTTACTATTAATACTGTGAGGGTATCTGCAGAAGTGAGTCCTCTCTATGCGTGGATCCACAAAAGTCACACGATTACTCTTCTCAGAAGGTGCCCCTCAGCTCCTCGGTGCTGGTCCTAAAATGCAGACTAATCTTAAAACCTCATCTYTTTATGAAAAGTAACAGTTAAACTCATTCTCTTTGATCACAGAGAATGCGAGCAGATTTCTATCTGGTCAGTTGGATGACTGAGCTCCTTTCAGTTTGCAAACATTACATCAGGATTCTCTGTCAGTTTTCTGATTTGAAATAAATTTTAAAAGTGAGTATCTATCTTTAAATGGACACCCTCTCCAGTCTCCTTTTACTGAGCTGAATCCATTACCAATGCCTATCTGCACTCAAGTGCCCATTTCCTCTTCCAAAGTGACCTAACCCTTCCCAGAGGCTTCACCGGCCTGTTCCTCGTGCCCAAGGAACAGGGCATTCCCAAATGCAGGATTGCACACAGGTTCTAGAGCCCCTTTGCTCTGCACGCCGACAGGAGCACTGATGCACGTTGCTCTTCTCGTGCCCTTCCGCTACAGTTTCAGTCTTTCCTTCGGCCTCGCTTTCCTCAGGCTTTGGCTCCTACGTTAGAGATGACGCGCGAGGGCGCCGAGCTCCCGCTCCCCATCCGCCCGCTGCACCGGGCGGTGGCGGTCCCGTGCCCGCAGGAACGGCGAGGGGGCAGCAGTTCCGTGCCCACGGGAATGGGCCACAGTGGTTCTGTGCCCGCTGGAACGGGCCGCGGCAGCTCCGTGCCCGCTCCTCTCCGTGCACAGTCCCGTCCACCTCCGGCCTCGCACGGAGCGGCACACGCGGACACCTCCCGGAACCGCACACACACACGCGTGTGCACCCACACACACACGCGTGTGCAC